TACTAATGCATGACCACATCACCGACGCGACGCACGTTCAACATATAATCCTCCACGTCAGCACTAACACACCTGTAGAACGAATTGTTTCTAACACTCCACCTCGGCGCGACAGGAGGACAACCGTAGCTGATTGACGGGGATCTGGTGTCTAAATAAGCCTTTGGTTAGGACGTCTGCTATCATGTCTGTCGTAGGAATACGATTGAGGGAAATAACATCCTTCTTGAGTGCGTCTCTCACGAAATGGTAGCGCATGTCGGTATGCTTGCTTCTCGCATGGAACATAGGATTCTTTGAGAGCTCTATAGCTCCGAAGTTATCGTAGAAAATAGGAACGCTGTTTCTAATTTTAATGCCCAATTCGGTGAGGAATTTCTGAAGGTAAATCGCTTCTTTTGAGATGTCCGAGAGAGCCATATATTCGACTTCATTTGAAGATAACCCCAGAGATTTCTGTTTTCTATAATCCCAAACGATCGCACCATTATTCCATATGAAACAGGAGCCGGTATAAGATCTTCAGTCTACCAAATTTCCGCCTCAGTCGGCATCGACGAATCTGGAAAGTGGTTCGTCACTAAGTGAATAAGATAAACATAGTGACTATGTACCTTTGAGGTATCTCAAAACTCGTTTCGCTGCTGCCCAGTGAGATTCGTTGTAGCAGTTGTTGAATTTTCAAAGCAAGCTACACGGGAAACTGACGTCCGGCCTCGTGGCGACGGCTAGGTAGTTTAACGCACCGACTCATTTTCGATAAGATAACTTACTCGTTTTCGGTGATTTCAGGTTCACATTTTGTCAGCCTAGTTCCAGGATCGATTAGAATAGCGACTGATTTACATTTCGTCATCCCAAATCTTTCCAGTAGTTCATTGATGTAACCTTGTTGACTCAAATGGATTTCATTTCCATTTCTACGGAATTTAATACCTAGACAATTATGCACTTCCCCGAGGTCTTTGATACTACAATTCTGCGTTAATTCATTTATTATGTTTGAGATGACACTATTGTCTTTGCAACAGATGATAATGTCGTCTACATGCGTCACTACAAATATGGTGTTTTTATTTCGTCTATCTTTAGTAAAGTAGAGAAAAATCCAAGCTTTGCCAGAACTTGGTCCAGTTTTTTGATCCAATTTCTTCTGGCTTGTATGAGACCATATAAGAATTTCTTCAGTGAACATATCATATCATCGGAATCGAAGTTATTTAACATTGTTTCTGCAGATTTTCTAATTTGACTGTTTTTTTTTTGAATTCATGATCCTTTTTAACGTTTCTTTTAATAATTTTGGCGGTTCCATAAAGGTTTCTTCTTCTAGGATCCCATTGAGGTAAGCGGTTAAAAACACCTAATTGTCTGATTTTCATTCTTAGTTTTACTGCGGAAGATACTACAACTCTTATGGAACTTCATCACGCTACGGGACAAAATGTTTCGTTGAAATGAACTCCAGGCTTCTGTAAAAATCCTTAAACCACTAGGTGGGCTTTCTTTTTGGAGATTGTTCCATCGGAGTCAACTTTATTTCGGAGAACTATTCTACTACCTATAACGATTTTATTTCCCATGTTTCATTATTAACAATGAAATTCACTTTTTCTGCCATGGCGTCCAGCCAATCACCGGCTTGAGCACTAGACATTGCTTCTTTCATTGAAACTTCCGAAGTAAATGCCTCTTGTTGGCTTCTGACTAATTGAGCTTCTACGAACTCTTTATGTGTAAGGTTGTATTCTTTTCTTAAACGACTTCTTTGTCCTGTTCGTATAATTCTTGGCCTACCTCGTCTTCTTATGTCTTCGACTTCATACTTTTCTTCTATTACTTGTGGATGTCCAAGTGCGTTGGGTTCGTGGTTCTTTATTTCGAATTCAATAGCTTCGGGACATTCGGGTTTATTTTCACTTTCTTCGGGTGAAAAATCTGTAAAAACTTCGGAATCATGTGTTTTCATATCCATAAATTTTACGTCACGGGAAATCTCATCCCTTTTCTCGATCACACTCCAAATTCTGTAGTCTTTTAAAGTCTCTGAATATCCTACCAATATATCTTCCTTTGTACAATCTCAACTTCCCTTGACAAAATTTTCTTCAAGTGAAATTCGATAATATGAATTTGGATTACTTAACTATACAATCTGTCGTTTTGAGTGAAGCGTTTCGCTTTGATTAATTTATTTTCATTATTCGCTTAAGCAAGTAAGAATCTACATTATTTTATCTCAACTGACTCAACCCTATTCTGCTTCTAGGTAATATTTCGGAAGAAACATTTAGTTATTAGTTCGTTGTAAAAGATTGTCGATAGAAATTTAGTTCTCCAGTTGGTACATTTTTTAATTCTTCTACATGTGCATGAGTTAAATGCATATTGTCTAGAACAACTTTCATAGAATTATTATAATGTACCAAGGTGTAAATATAGGTAGCTGAATATTTTATTTTCTTTTTGAATGCCTCTAGCAATTTCTTCCTTGTTCTCTTGATTAAGTGTACCAAAAAGAAATTTACCTGTTTTACCGACCAATAATCCTCTTTTATCGTTTCATTTTGTATTAAAGCTATTCAAAAGATTTTTTTAATAACTGACGTAAATTTTTTGCTGTATTGATTTTCTTGTTTATTTCTACAGGAGAATTACTATATATAAACATTATGTTACTAATACTACTAATACTACTTCATCGGTGTTTGCTGTTACCAGTATTGTTGTCGCTTTCTAAAACATCGTATTGTTTTTCTTGGTCGTTTTAATGTTGATTTGTGTTGACGTTCGGTTATGATTCCAGTAGGTGTCGCGATTTTTATTAACTACCTGATTCCTTCGTGTTAGATTTGAATCGTTTCTGTTTTATAGTTGATCTAATACTGTCGCGTTTTCAAACACCTTTCTAGATACTAATTAATTCAGTTAAGTATTTACGCTTTAATTAACACAACTATTATTTATTAATTACTTATTCACTACTATATCACACACTTTATCACTTATCCGCTCTTCTCATTTCGTATCCTATTGCATCGTAAGTAGAACTCGAATTGACTTTTCCGACCTTACTGCAGCTATTCACAGAAGCTGGACTTGTTCTACAATGATTCCAAAATATAGAATCTAGAAAATCTGGTCTCTGTTATGATGTATGGAAGATAGCGTACGCGTAATACTGCCCCCCCCCCTCATAAAACTGATCGTCCCTACCAGCGACATCACCTCTGTAGGGAGCAAGCTAGTCAAGATGGATGACCTTAATTTTAGCTCAAGATCCCTTATGAATTCGGTAGGCAAAGTTGTTAGTTCATCAAATAACGTTATATAGACCAACCCAAGCTTGTTGTAGTTTCGGACAACGTCTCTTCCGTCTTGATAAATTGTATAGTCACACTTCGCCTTATTTAAAACCAGCAGAGTTGACTGGTTTTTGGGCGTTCACGTTCGAAACGCAGCTTCGTACTGACAGCATGACTTCTAGTCGTTCTTGTAGGTTGCGCACCTATTCTGTGTAGACACTGGACCAAACATAAAGTGCACTGACAGCAAAAGTTCTTTCCTAAAATAGATGCTAGCTCTAGTTGCTCATGAATAGCGGATCAATAAGCTAAGAGGAGTAGAAATATATGTCGGTCTCAGTCAGTTTAGTGATTGTTGATGAAGCTTTTTAGGTTGGTCTTCAGAATAGCGTTAAATTGTTCAACCATACCATCGGACGTGGATTGCTTCTAATACTTCTATTATATTATACTATGTTCTTTGGATGTATATGTTATTTCTGGTTCCATCCGGACTCTTCCACATTCTTTTCTCCATGATAAGGGAATTGGAATGAATGCCGATCTACTGTAGGTCTGTGTAGTGGTTGAACTATAGCGGCAAATCCTCGTGTGAATCTTAGGTAATAGAAATAAAGTTCCAGAGAGCCAAAACCGTGCGACATCCGCTTTGCCTGTCGGTACTAGTTCCTTCCAATGTTATAGCTCTATATACTTTCTTTCCCTCCTAAACAGGGAACATTTCCTGGGACTACGCTTCAATTTATTATGATTAATATGATGATGTTATCTAAGTAAACTAAATAAAATTTCCGGTTTAATCCTAGTAAACCAGTGTCTATTTATAGAAGACGATTTAGCTTCCGCTAGACTGTCTAGTGTGTCGTTGATTCAGGGTAAAAGGTAGCTTTCCTTCTGTGTTACATCATTCAGCTGCCTGCAGTCCACTCAGAATCTTGTGGAACCATCTTTCTTGTGAACAATACTGTAAGGGAAGTCCACTAACTTTCAGGTGGTTTGATCAACCGTTGGTATGCCGTTCATAAGGTTATTCGCTTATTATTGCTTTAATAATAACAATAACTATTATAACCTAAACAATTACTATTGTTGTTGCTCGTATCGGTTGTTTATTTGATCTTACTATTTCAATTTTGATGCGATGACATATTAAGTTGGTCCTACCTAAGTCCTGTACTGAGAGGGCAAAGATATGTTGAAAATGACTGAAAAGTTGTTCTAATTTCAATAATGTAGCTGTTTAGTTGTTATTGGTTACAATTTTTTTGACTCTCAACCACGCTGCTTTACTTACGTGCGATCACCTATTGCTTCTAATTAACACTCTTCAAAGCTTGTTACTTACTTCGGAAACACCTTGTATAAAAAAGTTCATATTTAACAAACCAGTAGATCCCTTCAATCAGAGGACCCTTGAATACAATCGAATCTTTGTATATCCTACCAATTGAATTTACCTGAATGATAAATAATTTATAAGCATGTAATTGAACTCGAGTACATACCTGGTTTTACGCACCAGTACTCTACTACTCAAAGAAGTAAAGTAGCAACAATTTTTCTTAATTAATTTGAGGTTTTCTGCAAATTACATGTTATCCAATATTTAAAAGTCTTGTCCGGACTGTAAATGAATATGTGTTCTGCACTGTAGTAGGATAATATTATTTTTACTAACACAAATCTATTTTGTAGGGAAACGAATTGTCATATCTGACACGAAAAGCGTTTGGAAATCTTCCTGTACTTTTGGAGCTGGACATATCTTTAAATAGTATATCTAATGTAAGTGAAGAAGCGTTTGAGGGATTGCTACAGCTTCTATATCTTAACATTTCCCACAATACAATATCATTAATTTCTAACGAGGCTTTCAAAGGTAAGTGGAAAAAAATAAAGCAATAAGTGAAGTTTTATATTGATAGAATAGAGCAATACTTCATATTGCATTTTACATTTCTTAGCTATGTAAATTATATTACATATTAGCTCTAATTATCGACGTTTCCCTGATCGTAGCCACCTAGAGATGTACAGACCTACCTATTTATCTTGAATAAAAGCGGTAGTGGTTTGTTTAACTTTCGCTGCGACAATTTGTGATTACCGCCATTTCGTCTTGGCTTATTTTAATATTGTTTGTAATGAAAAATGAGAATTTATTAAAAACAAACAAATAAAAACGTAACAAAACATTTAATGTAACCATTTTAAGCATATTGGAAAATAAAATACCCATATCAAGAATAAACTTTATACCTAATGAAAAATAATTATGTATTATGAAAACTTTTTCACATTTCTGTTACTAAGGCAGTAGTTGAATATTTCAGAATTATTCGATTTAATAATGACAGACACTTTTCAGTAATTTCCAAGCAATGTTCCAGTATTTCATCACTTATAATAAGAACCTTACATAGATCACAGCATACGTTGCTAGAAACCTTCTTGGCAATGTACCTTCTTATGTACACTAGTACAGCCATATCATTTTCAAATACTTTAATATTGTTTGCTTAATCAAAAGCTTCTTCAAAATAATCATATTTTCGTCCGTTCTATCGGCCTTTACATCATCTTTGGATTCTGACGAAAAAGACTTTATCTAGAAATTCCCGTTCAGTGAAGATTTTAGACTAAATAGCGATACTAATTTAATTTTGCTTTCCGACTCAAAAATTTGTTGCACCGTTACGTAATAATTAGATAATACGTAATCAAATCTTACAATTTCGAGAACGTGCTGACATAATTTTATTGCAGTAACTTTTGTATGCCGCAGAGAGTGATAAGTTTCCCCAGTTAGTTTTCCATTAGGTGACGTCTTATTTTCCTCCTGCATTCTATTTATCTAGCCACTTTATAAGTAGCTCAAGACATTCTCTATTCTTATCCTCTATCGTTTTGATTGGAATTCTCTTGGGATCTTGTTTATGTTGTACAGTATATAATGAACAGCAATTGAAGCATTTCCACCAATGCGAAATAACTTCCAGGAAAAGTCTTGTACTACGGCTTGTCTCGGGAAAGTTTGCAAGATGTAACACCTTTTTCGACAAGGTTGGCGCAGTTTTAATTATAAGGTTTTCTTCAACAGTATACAGTTGTTTTAAGTCATTTACTGACGCTGATGAAACAAAGTTATCAGAATTTCCTTTCGAATTTGGAAAAAGTTAACCAGTTGTTTCTTATGCATTTTATGATATTAACGCAACGGAAAAACAAAGGAACATTATAGGTTACATCTTCATTAAAAGGAATAGAAATACTCGTTGTTATTTTTCCATTGCACATTTCTTCATAATACTCTGCTAACTGCATTGTTATCCAATATTGCTGTTAATGTGTGGTAACCTGCTTCAGATAAAATTAATTAGCCAGTCCTTCATTTGCTATTCGACGCTAAATACAGGGGTACATTCAGATCTGCTGTCTGGAACGGTCTTTGTCTCTTTAAACAACCGCAACCACCCAAGCACTGTGTCCAGAAAAGTTCTTTGAGACTTTACGTAAAGCCATTACCAACCCGTTGCTGATATTATCCTGATGAAATTTTAGGAGGAATAACTAGGAAAAATTTTATTTCATGGGGTATTTGTGGAAGCGATTAAGTACATGACCACAAAGAACACATCCGTGACTGTTAAGCCAATATCAGGATTTCTTGAAGGCGGAAACTCTCAAATAGCTGAGGAACTGTTTAATTCTCTCTATACGACACGCAGAAACAAGTGGGTTCGAACACCCGAAAAACTTGATTTATTACATGCAGAAAAGCCTGGAGCTTGATAAAGAAATTGGGCGCAAGTGCTCCCGTACAATGTAGAAACCTGGAAGTAAGTGATAATCAAGTTGCCTTCATCAGATCGAGAACAGAAAATACATAAAGCACGAACTAAGCAACCAGAAGAATAGATATCAGACTATCACCGTGACTGCCATTTCTCAAGACATTAAATATCATGAAATCGTCAAAGCACTAAAACAGATTAAGTTGATTAAGGGGAAGTGAGCCTTTTGATATCTATAGGCTGGATTCAAACAAGACCTTAAAACATCAGGCTTCTTCATCGACGTAACCCACGACACTGTATAGAAGCATAACCTACTATATAGGTTCCTACAAGTGGTCCCTAACAAGGAATTGGTAAGACTATGAAAGAAAATGCTTTCCGACTGATCTTTCTAGGTGGTCGTCACTGAACAAACAAGTAAGATGAGAAAATTGTGAACGGATTATCTGAAGGCTGTGTGCCAGCCCCCTTACATTTTAACTTGTAGTTATTTGATAATGCTAGACGTAAAATCAAAAAAGTTTACGTATGGAGATGACCTGACACTGACAACTAATAGGTAAACGGTCGCTGATACAGATAAGATTTTAACAAAAGACCTCCTGGACTGATTATTACCGTATGGGCAGGCTAACTACCAAACTGGACAAAACAGACTGAAGCTGTTTCTTTCAATAGCCCCACCAACCTGCAGCTTACAGTCCATCTTCGTAGTAGTCAAGTTAAAGTTAATCACAACGTAAAATGTTTTGGAATCACTCTGAACTTAACATTAACTCATAAGCAACATCTCATCAGTATTGCTGCCAAAATCCATTCTAGTAATAATATGCACCAGAATCTCTGCAGCTCCACTTGGGGTGCGGAGGCAACCACACTAACGTTAGCATATAAGACGTTTCTGAAATAAGTGGTAAGCTTTGAAATGTGTATGGGCAAAGCAGCATGGTTAAAGGACAAAAAAAATGTATTAAAACCAGAAGAAGTAACCTTTTGAAGCCGGTACTGGTCATAAATTGGCAAAATTGCCTTCACAACTAAGAAGCTACATCGATGGAAAATTTAAACAGTGAAAGTTGAGGAACGACTAAAAAAAAAATAAATTTCAATAGTAATAGGTAAAGTATGCCCTGAATAAGTAATTGTATTTTTATTAATTGTAAGGAAAATTTCTAAACCACCTTTTAAGTATTGTAAAGGTATTTTATCTTTTTTTATGGGCGATATACAGGGTATTTCTGAAATAAATAGCATGCTTTTGAGGGTGTCAACCAGATACAGTAGAGAATCGAATAGTGAGTACAGCAACGTGATTAGGATACAAAAAAAATGTAAAAAAAGCACAAGTTACAATCTGAAGCCAATCCTAGACGTGAATCAATAAGTTAGATCTGTACCTATGCACCGAGTTGAGATAAGGGCTCAGAAACTACAACGATAGAGAACGTAAATAATACCAATTGTCGATCGGCGAAAGTAAACATCAACAAACTACGACTACACGTAATGTTTAGAAGCCTATCACGGTATAAATGAATTAATAACAAAATTCATTGTTATTAATATTCAGCACACAAAAGAAACGAAAAAAGTTTCCTTTCATGACGAGCAATGAGATGTTTTGGGGGTCGAAGCTCAAACGGTCACACTGAGCTACCACAGATTGAATAAAAAACGTTAAATGAACTAATAACTACCGACTGCAGTTGGATGTAACATAAACATCTTGAATCATTCTTATTCTAATCTAACAAATAATAAACAATACATGAGCAAAAAATTCGAAATGGGTAAATGCAATACTGATGCTGCTATTTACCAGCTAATTGAATACGGCGTTACATTTGCATTTCTCTTCGGAACCAGAATTAGATCTGCCCGTAATTTCGACTACGTTTTTCTTTAGACCTGCAACATTTACCTAATTTTCTGATTTTGTAACGCCCTGTCACCTTCTGGAAGATTGCCATTTATTTCAGAAACATCCTGTATTCGAGGCGTTTACCAAAATTACTTCTGAGTCACCCAAAAACGTCCGGCAGTTGATTTATTTTATATTGGCGTTCTGTAATGGCGTTTGATACACGCGATGTGATACACGTGCTGTTTCATACAAATCCCATACAAAGAAACAAAGCGGATTTAGATTCCCGCTACGCGCCGGCCAAAGTACAAGACCCATGTCAATTATTCCGCATCACAAATTTATCGAAAACTGTTGCTGAAATCGCGAATGATGCACGACATGCGTCGCACCAATGATGAGTATTGTTAAAATTCAAAAATCCATCCCTCATGAAGCAACTTCCATCCATAAACACTGTAAGGAAACCACTGACACAGGTCTAATTGCATTTGAAATTAATGTTCAAGGCTTGCACTCGCTACAAATGATAATGACGCAATAACTATTCTTTTAAAATTTACCACACTATAACAGGGAAGGAAGCTAAATTATGCGCTAATTACTACTTTGGGAGCGGTAAGAAATTAAGGATTTCGGCAGCGATATGGTTCGGTCGACACTTACGGCCCTCACATGTAGGTTGTTCATTGCCGGTTTCTTTTAATATATATATATTANCGCTGGAGATTTGTACATATGTAATCAAAATAGCAGCTATTAGAATGGCGTTTAGTTGGACAGAACTTTGTGAATGACCACTATGCGACGAATGTAATGTAAAATGCAACGGTGGAATGAAGGTTTCCTTACTGGAAAACTGTCTTAAATAATGTATTTATATATATGTATATATATAAATACATTATTTAAGACAGTTTTCCAGTAAGGAAACCTTCATTCCACCGTTGCATTTTACATTACATTCGTCGCATAGTGGTCATTCACAAAGTTCTGTCCAACTAAACGCCATTCTAATAGCTGCTATTTTGATTACATATGTACAAATCTCCAGCGTTCAAAGAACAAATAAACACAATAAATAATGCATGAACACAAAAATAATAAAGAAGTACCTTAACGGCCTGTGTTGTTGCTTCTGGATAACCATGATTCCCACCTTTTAATATTTGCAAACAAAGTGGTGTAACAGTTTTGTCCTTCCCAGCTCACTGCTCCCATAAGTTGCAGCCGTTGGGCAGAAGCGTCTTTGGTCACTAAAAAAATATTGTAACTCGACAATAGATAATTGGATGGTAAATAATCCAGGAAAAACAGTTACTATAAATATATGATATTCTTGGTGTTGTTAAAACAGCCCTCCCTTTGGCTGCTACTTCTGGTAATATAATTGCCGGTTTCAAAAAAAACAGCATCAGTCCGTTAAATGAGAACATCTTTTCGGACAGTGACTTTTTACCTTCATATGTGATGGACAGGGAAGAACCAATTGAAAATAATGTTGCAATTCCTAAGAATTTTTGGACTGTAAACACCAATGAAAATAGATCTACCATTAACAAACAGCCAACTATAATTGTGCCAGTAACTCCAGAAAAGACTGTCTCTAAGTTTGTTTCTCTTAAGGAAGTGAGGACTTTTCCTAAAGCCGGACCACGACAAAATAATACACAAAGGGGCAGAAAAAGGAGACAAACTGCAATCTTAACAGATACTCCAATATAAGAAGATCTGGGGCAAGAAAAAAAAATGCGCCAAAAAGAAAAAACAAAACTGCAAGAAAAGTAAAAAATGGCTGATAAGGAAAATGAGAAAAATACACCTAATGATGGTCGAGGATTTCTATTTCATGATAACGTAGTCCCATCTACATTCGGAACTCAAAAAGATTTTCTTCATTCTCAGACTCGGAAGATGAAGCTGAATACCTGGTATGTGAGGAACCTTATGGTAGTAGCGAATTTGGGGATAATTGGTTGCAATGCACTCGTTACAGAAGGTGGGCCCATGAGAAATGCATAAAAAAATCTAACATTACCTTTTTCATATGTATAAATTGCGACTCTGATGATGATCTATGAGCCTGTATTAACTAATTTTAAATAAAAAGACAAATGTAACTTGAAAAAATAGTTGTAATATTACCCTTAACAAAAAGCAGGAAAAAGTAATAATAAAATGTAGTATGTGTCAACACACCCCGCATACGGGGTTAGATGGCTAACTTTGCATGGTGGCATAAAAGGCTTTACTAGAATATGGTCACATTAAATAGAAGAATATAGATATTAAAATATGAATCCTTATGACTTTTACTCCCCTACGACTTGTACAAACTTGCCTTGTTGAAAACGGCAATAAATAAAAAAAAATTATATATAAAAAGTTAGTCATCTTGTCCCGGGGAGGCCGGGTTAAATCCATCATAAACAACCAAATACATAACCCTTAAATTTATTAACTACTTAAATATTCGGTTAAAATAAAGTTACCAGTGAAACACAACATGGTTAATATAATTAAATGAGATAAAAAAGGTCAACCTAACCAATAATAAAGTGATAGAAACATATAATGACACCAATTGAACTGTAACAAATGAGACAAGTACTTATTTCAAGTTTCTATGATTCTTTTAAGTTAAACCTTTGTTATCTCATTTAATTGTAGCAACCACACCATGTTTCACTGTTAATTTGATGTAGTTTAGTAATTTAAAAGTTATGTAATTTGTTTTTCTGTGAATCCTTAGCTTACCCTACACATTCGTAAGTAAAAAAAAGTTTTTCCACTATACGTAGGTATATATTTATTGTAGTTCTCCCAATGAAGCCATAAAAAAAATGGAAAAAATGTCAGAATTAAATGATTATTATAAAAACTACAATATTGTTCAAATCCTGCCGCATACCCTTTTGTTTAAATTTGGCCAAATGTTTTCTTTATCTATACATATATTTTATATTGTACGTAGATAAGTCGGGCTTAGGTTGTATAGTTAATGATAAAGTCTGTTTAAAAAACTGTTCTTTAAGGTCTCGTGTCACTGAAAACGTTGGACCTTTCTTTCAATAAATTGGAGAAATTAGATAACAAAAGTCATGGTGTCTTGGATTACTGTTTGTCTCTAGAAAGTGTAAGTATCAGAATATTAAAAGAATTTAAAATTAATTATTTTGTACCAATGCATGTGGATATATTCAGTCGTAATCGGCAACATATGAAACCAGCTTTATTTTACTTTTTTGTTATTCCATTTTACTATTGCATATACCTATGTACCATCTTACAGTCAATATTTGGCGCTCTTGTGTTCATCGTAAGTTAAAAAAAATTCATTCCAGAATATTCATTTTTTTTTCAAGTCTTTGTTTTTTAAAGCACATTCAAGTTATGAAAAAACCGATAACTTACGATTAAAAATTAATAATTGTTATAAGATAAAATCGATCCGAGTAGATATTTTTCAAAAATTCCAACTGGATATTAAATTTAAATATTTTTTTAATTTTCTAAATTTTTCAGTAGGAAAAAATATTAACAAAAGAAAATTACGCATTTTGGAATTAACGGGGAAAAAAATATTGGATCGCTAATTATTCGTTAACAACCGATCTTTCTAAAATTTGAAGCACTCATATAGTATTGTAAGCACTAACTCCTAAAAAGTTCAAGTTTCTATCTGTTTTTGTTCCCATGATATTTAATGTAAAGGACAATTTCTTTTATTTTGAACACGATTTGTTAATAAACAAAAGCATTTGACGACATTCAACCAGCACCATTTTTTAAACAACTATATGGAAAATAAAAGTAGATACATATGGTAATAAATGAATTAGAAAAGAGATATTTCGTAAACAGTAAAAAAAATCATTTTTTGTTTCACCAATTGTTAAATTAAGAAATTTTGTCCCAACAGACTGTGGATAGCGAAGTTCAGAATCAGTATATTTTTTTACTTTTTTTGATTGAGCTATTTTAAATAAAACAAACTTTATTTTATAAATTAATGGCAGTTATGAATCAAGACGTTTCCATAGGTTCGATTTTACATTAACGCCATCTGTAAATTCTAAGTGGCGTTCATATTTGTTGTTATTATGCATTATTATTAACTTTTTAATTTGAATTCTTTATTTAGCTATTTCTTTTTTAACCAATCAGTCATTAGGCGTAATTTTGTGTTTTTTTGTAGCTTAATATCAGCAATAACGAATTCAGTTCTATCAACAAAAAGACGTTTCCCAATGATCGTTACATACCATACAAATTAAACGAAATTGATCTTTCTTTCAACTTTATCCCAGTATTAACAAACGATTTGGCTATCAGCGGTGGCCGGTTTAAAAAACTGAATCTCTCTCACAATTTAATTTCAAATATAGGAAAAGGTAAACCATCATTATTAATTAAGAATTACTTACATAATATTAGAACTATATAATTTATGGTTATCAATACTAGTCATATACCGAGTATTTCAGTTACAATTAGTAGCACAATTTAAAAACTAAACTTTAGACATGACGTTATAACTAAAAATTGGTTGTATTTACCAAGCAGGGTAAGTAAAATATCTGAGAAAGTACATTACTTACAAAATAAGAAAGCATTTATTTTGTAATTTTCAAAAAAAATACAATTCCCAATTTAAAGAATTAATACCTCATTTAATGGTGGAATAGCTGGTTACCACCAACTCATTTATCAACAAGTAGGTACTAGGGAGAAATTAAAAAGAATTTTAAGAAATAAATTAATGTATTATTAAAATAGATTAATGATATGGGAACAAGTAAAAATAAGCAATACTTCGAGAGATTAAATAATGAATAAGTTAAATACCTAAATATTTAAAACGGAAATAAAATATGCAAGGGAGAGGCAATAGTACATTTTATGTCATCAATAGGTCACGTGTAAACATTCAGTAAGACCATCACATGATACTAAATACCATAAGTCTTCTAAAATTATGAAATAAAATAGCTTTAAAAAGACAAAAACTGAGAAACGAGTATTTTTTTTAGATAGGCCATTTTTAAGAAAAATGTGAATTCACTGAAAAAAACAATAGAATTTTGCCAGTCTAAAAAATTATTAAAACAAAATGTCAAGGAAATTTTGAAAACAAGTCATGAAAATGTTGTACACCTAAAAGGATTATAATAGATTTTACATTAGTTTAAAAAATAAAGCAAAATTTTAGAAATGAATACTTCACTGTATGCTGTTGCATTACAGAGCATAAAGACCAAAGAGCGAGCTCAATAAGCTAAATAACACAACGCCTACCAAACAGATCCCACTACCGAAAGTATGAACATACGAAAAACTCATCAGCGGTCGAGAGACTCCAAGTAAATATTTAGAGCGGAGTAAACAGATTGACTTATTCATTCTTACTACTGCTGCAAATTGAAATGAATAGACGTGAATAATAACAATCTATGTAGAAAGATTGGTTTTGTTCGTTTTTTCGTCACAATCATACTAATCTCAAAATTATTGATTGATTTTAGTTAAATAAGTGAATAAGCATTCAAAAACCGTAAGCACAGTCAGTATTTAAATATTGTAAATTAATAATAAACCTTTACATCGTCGATTTTAGTAATCGCATAACTAGGGAACCTGTTCGACCCCCTCAAACAAAATGCTTCTCCTACAAATAATTAATGGTCAATTGTAGACTCGTGTGTGTGAGCAAACGTCATTTACTAACCACAAATCTAATGGCATCATTCGGAAGCAAATTACACAAATTATCATTTATTATTTATTAATACCACTCGAATGACCATTTTCGATTGTCATTCCATTCCATTTAAAAATTGTTAGTAGGTTTAGGATTTGTGATCCTATTTATTATCTACCCAAAGTCAACTATTCCTACATTGTATGGCTTGCTTCTTTGTAGCTTGTTACTTTTATATGGTTCAAAAAATGTTTCAGTTTTACCCTAATTTCAGATTCAATCGTTTTGATGGTAACCCAATTACCTTCCTAACATTTTTAGTAAATTTGTTAACTGATATTTTTAAATCGTTGTTCCTTGTAATTTTTTTTAATCCATCAAATCTTTCAGTACAATATTTATGAATTCCTAAAATATTATGGACGACATATATAATCTAAAAAGAGCTTCCAGAAACTCTTCTGGTCTACAAGTAACGTATATTTGTTTTTGACTTCTCTCATCGTTCGTAAAATATAGAATCTGTAAAATAGTGAGATCATACGCTTGTGTTTTCGTATCTCTTTGTGTTAAAAAGCTATAAATTGGAAGCCCTCTAGCTATGTAAATATGAATATGTACATTATAACAATATGATCTTAAACTGGCTAGCACATCAGATATATTATACAGTTTAAAATGTTTCATCATTAAAAAGTATTTTTGCGAGGGTTGAGAAATATACGACTTTTTGATATATCAACATTTTTCATGGAAATAGTTGCAATTATTTTTTCGTGGTAATCATCACACTTGCGGTGATTGATTGCATGTTGAGTATCCGTATTTATTTCACCGCTTTTAGCTAGTTTTATGTACTGTACTTTTTAAGTTCTTGATAAAGAAATCAAAAGTTCTCGATTTATTTTAGAGAATTAATCGTAAGTTTTCACTAATTGCAACTGAAATACTTTCAGCTCTTACACTTCTATGATAGTGTACAACGTATAAATAACAGAAAATTTTAACATTTCAGGTGTAATTGGAAATCTTACTCAACTTGAAGTAATTGATTTATCGTTTAATAAGCTAGAGGACGAGTTGGAAGAAGAATTTTTTAATCTATCGAGTGTAATTTCTGAGGTATATTTGTCGTACAACCAACTAAATGATCTACCTTGGTGTGTTTTTAAGAAGATCAAAAAGTTGTCAGTATTGGATATTCGTTTTAACAACTTTTCTGAATTCAGTACTGATCTTCAGAAGTTAGTGGAAAATGGAACTGCAGTATACTTCGGAGGTAATAAAAATAAACATTAAGAATAAGGGGAAGGAAGCAGATAGACATATTAAAGCAATTTAACCGTCATAAATACTCATACATTTATATCCTCTAGTTCTACAATTTCATAATATCAGAAATCAGGGATGACTGTCATCATTCGCGTTAAGTCACGTCCAATTTACGTATGTAACTACAACATGACAGACAAATCATCGTTCATACGATATGCAAATTATATATAAACCTTCATATGCAGCATTAAACTTGATTTTAATTGTAAAACTTATTAAGCTAGCTGATAGAATTCAACCAATCATCGTATGCTAATAGCAGTTCTGCTCATATTATATAAAACTACATTACTGACATCTAGGTATAAATATGCAGTCTGTCGCTATCTGGTTGACACCTACATACAGTCCATTTCAATTTGTTAGAATTGTGACCTTGAATAAATCTGCGCGAAGATAGAAAAATACACACTAGGCGTGAGCAAAAAGACAGCTTGAACGAGCAGAGCTCTCAATGGGCGGTCTTGGGAACTGTACAGTACTAGACGAAAATGTTTAGCAATTTTTTAAAACAAAAGTGTATATAAATTAACAATAGAAAACAAAGCAAAAGTTTTATAGGTGTGTAGAGCGTTAAGTTAATTCACTTGTTATTATTCTTGGCTAAATATACTTTTAAATAAAGCATATTCATAAATATTAACGAGACAGTTTAAATAATTTTGCAAATGGTACTATACACTTTTGTCTAGTTCTCGCTCGATGATCGGTGTAGAAATGAGCTCCGCAGACAAATATGATTGAATTTGGAAATATGTTACGGCGCATCCTAATAAAGGGATAGGGCATATCTCCAACTTCTTGAAACGAACGGTACCTATTGCTGCTGAAGTATTTCATGTGGTAGGTTAGGTTATTACTAAAGCATCAATTTGCCTAATTGAATCGACGATGGAGTGTATATGTTAGGCCCGAAGACCGAAAACGCTCAGTGGCCGGATAAAACGGCTTCATCGCGTTCTGGCTGCCTTTGAACGCACAGAACGCGTTTTGGCTGTTTTTAAACGCTCGCAACGCATTCTGGTAACTGCTAAACAGCCGGAACGCAATTTGTCAATTGTTGAACGCTCACAACGCGTTCTTAATGTTCGACTTGTATTATTTGACGCTTTCTACCTGCGTACAATGAGATTTATATTGTACTTATAAAACAAATGAATTTCAATCCATTTTTCAGTTTTTAGGAAACAATTCGTTAAATACCTAAATATTTAAAACGGAAATAAAATATGCAAGGGAGAGGCAATAGTACATTTTATGTCATCAATAGGTCACGTGTAAACATTCAGTAAGACCATCACATGATACTAAATACCATAAGTCTTCTAAAATTATGAAATAAAATAGCTTTAAAAAGACAAAAACTGAGAAACGAGTATTTTTTTTAGATAGGCCATTTTTAAGAAAAATGTGAATTCACTGAAAAAAACAATAGAATTTTGCCAGTCTAAAAAATTATTAAAACAAAATGTCAAGGAAATTTTGAAAACAAGTCATGAAAATGTTGTACACCTAAAAGGATTATAATAGATTTTACATTAGTTTAAAAAATAAAGCAAANATAAGTACGTGATAAGTAGGTAACCCATATAGTTCAAGCTGTATGTGCTTGAAAATACCTAAAACTAAAACATAAATACAAAAATAAGCGTTAAAAAAAAATATTAACTTGCGGATTTTTAAGACCTTTTGAGAGTAGGTATAATTGTAAATTTGTTAGGACTCTTTGGAAGTCAATAAAAAATAGGCGAGATAGGTTAGTAGGACACCTTCTCAGGCACGAAGGTCTAGTCAGAGACAGATTTGAGGCAGGAACGGAGGTTAGGAGGAGTAGAGGTAGACCCAGATTACATTACTGTTCGCAAATAGTTAAAGATATGGGTTGCTCTAGCTTTAGGGAAATGCGAAGATTAGCGCAGAATAGGAAAGAGTGGAGGTGCGTGTCCAACCAGTCTTAGGACTGACGACCTTATAATAATGAAGAGTGGGTAATGTAAATATATGAAAGAAATCCGCAAGTTAATATGTATTTTTACGCGTTTTTTGTAATTTTTTACATTTTTGCAATGGAAAAAATGAATTTTGCGATTTGCAAACAATTGCAGCTTATACGAAATTTAATTACGAAACGGTTTTTCTCCATAACTTTTTTGAAGTGAAATTTCTTTACACACGATAGGGTAAGTTAGTTTCATACGAGTTGCTATATAACGAAATCATGCAACGGATGTCCCCCTCTACTAGGCCACGTAGGCGAATTCGTAGTGGGAATCGCTTGAGGCGTGAGCGCGCTTCAATGCAACGTTCGTTACAGGCAACTCCGGCATGTATAATGTAAAATTTAAATTCATAATGTATAAATAATACCATTAAACCAATTCCTTAACCTCTATCCCGGTATGTTTGTGTGTTTGAAGAAGTTTCACTTCAGGAGCGTGTTGTATAATTACACGTTGTATTATTTTTTTCTGAGTCAACAATTTCTGAGATATACCTATGCTGCAGTTTGATGAAGGAAAAACGGTATTTTTTAAATTATATCAATATTTCTGTAATAATAACAAGCTAAACCCACGGTCTTATGTGTCCACATACTGAAATTATTTTATGACTTAATGAAGTGATTCCAACAAAAATCTTGATGTTTAATTAAAACAATGATGCAGTTTAGGCATGAAATATAAAACATGTACGAGGAGAGGGTTATTTCAGGTTGGACTTTAAAGCAGCGATGCGTATACAGCTCTACTTAGTCCAGGGAATAGACCTTTGAAAGTGCGAAAATATACCACAGGAAACCAACTATGCAGGGTTGTAAGTAATGGTCCAAGGAACAAAACATACTGAATTATAATACTGAATTTTTTGTTGAGAATTGGTTGGAATGGTTGAAATGAGTCGCCATTCACTATGAGAATTAATGAACTTATCGGAGATTAGTCTTATTTGACAAAAAGATTGATAATTTCCTTTGGGCCCCAATAATGTTTCCCCCGGTGTCTGATAGATTCGCTTTACATTTACCTTTCTATTATCTCGTCATTTTAACTTCATTTGAATTTTTTATATTTTGCATAGTTTCACCAATAACGATATTCATTACTGAGAAATTAAGACGGAAAGGATTTGTATGCAACTACATATCTCGTTTTCTTGCATTTCATTAGTCCCTTAAAAGAAAATGTACGTTTTCTGAAAGAATTAACTTTTATTTTCCAGGAAATCCACTGATTTGTAACTGCTTTGTGAGACCAATTAATAGAATTTTAAAGAAACAGTTAACAGTTGCATGGTATTATAAAGAAATCGTTTGTCGTAAACCACACCATTTATATGGTAGACCATTGTTTGAAGTGGAGGACGAACGATTAATTTGTAGTGATATAGAAAATGGAATTAACAGCACACGTCAACAAAAAGACGTTACCAATTTAGTACCGGATATAGAATTTAGAGCCGCTGAAAGGTAAATAGGTACATGTACTATATTTATTTAATGTATATCGACAAGGTTATGAATAGACTTACTTCACATACACTTCATTTTGAATTTGAAAACCAGACGAGATGGGTATAGGGAACCATAGTACCATTTGAAAGAGAATAATCTTCAGAATAGGGCTGTGAAAATACATACAAGGTGTTCCATTTAAAAAAATACGCTTACGATTGTTTGAATATCCAAATCCGCCATTAAATATCTAACGCCTTGTATATAATCAACCCATTTTGAAAGTACGGACGGGAATATTGAAGGTACAGCGATTTTCCCTGAGAATTTTCTTGCTCCGGTTTTCTTACTGTAAAGTAGGCATACTTTTTTGCTAGCTCCTCCGTACTACTTTTTTTAAATTTTAGAATTAAGAAAGCCTTATGAATGTCTACCTAAATTCAAAAATGGAATTCAAAATCGTCATATTATACAGGGTGTTCCATTTAAAATAACGTACTTGATGCCAACTTCCGGTATAACCGGAAGTGCTACATTGATGCCGTTATTTTAGTTGAGGAGAGCATACTCAATAACGCTATTGTGCAAATTTTCAAAATTCAAATGGAAATAGTTTCCGAAATATTCTAATGGATGGTTACCGTGAAACACCCTATACGTATATACGTAACTACTCTATATCTCGTGATTAGCAATTTATTGCACCAGGTGCCTATAGTATTCATAACAAATATCTACTAAACCATATAGAAAGAAACATAAAAGATTTGCTTTCCCGATCGAATATTAACGTTTTTATAGTATATCATGAAAAGCACTTATTCTGTATAAAGCTTACATTAGTTTAGCATAAAATAAATGAGAATATATAAGTACTTAAAATACGTTACACATTATATGAGCTATTCATATCTTTGCCCTGTGAAAACGAAACTTAACTCATTAAATCTCATACTTTAGACATACATATACACTAGTCCATAATACATGTTCATTTTTAGGAAATCTGATGATTTAATCTTAAGATGGCGAATTTTGAAAAATGAAGACATTGCAAATTCACGCATTATTATAAAGAAGAGGAACGATCCGTTGATGGTAGTATATGAGGAAGAAGTCCCGTATTACCAACGGAAAATAATCGTGCCAAGCAAATATTTACAGTTTAATGACGAAACAGAAATATGTATACTAGCAAAGGATAGCAGAGGACTCTTAAGAGGATTTTATGAACAGCAGTGCCAATTTTATTCTGAAATAATAAAAGGAGGTTCCTTCAAGATAAAATGTGATGTAGCACTAGTTTTATCTTTAATTTATAGTTTTACGTTTCTCACTTAGACAGGCTTAATAATTGATGATACTGTTTGCTACAAAATTGGCACCTAATTAGAATTTGTTGCATTTCAGAAGTAAGCTAATAAATTAATTTATAAATGAAGATAGCTGGTAATTCATTTTTATCATCCTAGATATTGGCTTGATATTTTCGGGCTCTCTTAAAGTTTAAAAGTCAAATATTGCACTTTGTTTTTTTATTAAGAATGTTTAAAATTAAGTTAATATCTGTGTACAAGCAGTAATACTTTAAAAATCTGAAGATGGTTGAATAAACCGAAACGTTACAAAAAAGTTGGTCTGTGCTCTGTCGGAGCTGTCTGCGCCGCGCTGTTGAGATTCAAAAACATCCAAATCGCGATCCGCGTCTGGCAGTTTCGACAGAATACAGACCGCTTCGAATTATTTTATTCGTTACAATAAACATAATGTTGTTTAATTATTTAACCGCCACCCTGGAAAAAACTATTGTTTAAACTTGTTCGTGTTACCTTTTCATTCCGTAGCCCTGTGACCTTCAGCAATTAAACAAAAGTCTGACTTGACTTATTATATTTATTGGACGTATTTTTTTGACCTTCTATAACTTTTGAGCCCCTGGGTTCATATACACCTCAAATCACATGTATTTCCCTAAACCTCCCCTACACTCCCTTAGAGGAGTCTTCCTATTAAACGCGGTACATAAGTTGTAACATTTGACATTTGAATTTACCGTAGTACTTGACTATAAAATTTTTGGGTTTACGTATTCACAACTTTTGTGTGCTGTTTATACACCAGTAGGTACATCGCAATTTAAAAAGAAACGATACTAATACAATATAACAGTGTATATCAAAAAGTAACAACAAAAGATATATACAATCAGAGAAAGTCAAAGAGACACAAAAAAACACAAACAATGTAACAACAAAAGAGGTAGGAAAACTTAGAATTGACAGAAGACAAGCTGGAGTGGAATTGACTGTGGACAAAAGAAAAAAACTTTTGGGTGTTTCTTTCCCACCAGCCGCTTATGCCGGTGGGCGGGCAGTGCCTCCGAACTACACAAAAAGTAGGACGGAAGGCCTTCTTCAGCCTTCTTTCAGGAATCGTAGGAATGGATCGCGATTTCGACCTTGCTGGATCTCATCAGCGCGTCGCAGACAATTTTGACAGAACACAGACCAATTTTTACCTGCTGTCTTAAGGGGATTCAGTAGTACTCGCGCCGTAGAGTAAAAACATGCTTATCTATTCTGCATAACATGAGTTTAATATTTGAAATAGAGATTTGAAATTTTGTAGGGAGATAAACAAAGCTTTGTTCTAGCGCCTGTCAGAGGCCTTTTTTTTAATTTTTCATTTCTATTGGAAATATACGTCCCATAAAATGCATCAACTTTAAGCTCCTATAACAACTTTTAATGATCAAATTATTGAAAACCGCGTCTGTACCGAGGTAGTGTGAACCTTTGTCTGTTACCATACAAAAAATCACATATTTATCTCGCAGCGTTAAATCACAATCTGTAGAATACAAACCCATGTTTTACAAAAAATTAGAACAAAATGTAACCTAGGCACGAGCGGTCTATGCGGCCAGACGAGCAACTACAAGATAACTCCGCCCATCTATCGATCTAGCCGACTGATTTCATACATATATATATGTATAGGTACTGACCGTGTTATCTGCTGTAATAAGTATGTGTTAGGTACT